CTATGCTTGTAGCCGCCACCACTTCCTGTGACAGTGAATTCTCTGTGTTAATGACTCTTTGACTTGAGGAAGTACTTCCTTTTATCCAGGGGTCATTTCGTAGAGAAAGAGGTGCAGGCGCTCATTAAGATAACTTATTAGCATAACTTATTTGCATATGCTACCCCCCCTGATATTTCAGGAAGTGTGTCAGAAGGCAACACCCACCGCTCAGGCTCCACTGGACTGTTTTGGATAGCTAGCTATTTGCGGGGGGGGGGGGGGCCACCAGGGTTTTTTTGGTAGGTTGCCTTTTGGGGGGGGGGGGGGGGACACACAGATCTGCCCTCACAGAGGAGGGAGAGCTTGCACCTGAATAAAAATTGGTCTTAAAGGTGCCAGTGGACTGTTTTGGACCGGGGGGCCTGGGGGGAGCTCTGCAACTTACCTGGCTGCTTCTTGCTCTGACTGAGGGCTGCTGGGAGCAGGGGGTGGGGCTTGTTGCATGTGCCCGCCCCCTGGGCTCTTTACTGCCAGAGCTCCGCTCCTGTGCGCTCCTGCAGGAAATGACCCCTGCTTTTATCTATTCTAAGCCTACTGCTCATTAATTTCATTGCATGCCCACAGGTTCTTGTATTGTGAGACCATTTGTCCTATCTTAGCTTAGTGTTATTCTACTGATGGTGGTTCTCCACGGTCTTAAGGAAGGGCCAGTGGCTCAGTGGTAGAGCATCTGCTTGGCGGGCAGATAGTCCCAGGTTCAATCCCCGGCATCTCCAGTTTAAAGGATCTGGCATTAGGTTACGGGAAAGACTTCTGCCTGAGACCCCGGAGAGCTGCTGCCCGCCTGAGTAGACAATACGAACCTTGCTGGACCAAGGGTCTCAATATGAGGCAGATTCATGTGACAGGCCCCTAACACAGGGACTTTTTTGTGGTGCCTTTCCTGCTCTGGAACTCTCACGCCCCCAGCGGTTCGCCCACTGCAAAATTTTCTTTGCAGTAGGTGAACATTTACGCCCCAGGCTTTTGGGCAAGCCAATATTTGCGTTTGTCTTTTTTTTCTTTTTCTTTTAATTACATCCTGCCTTTCACCCTTTCTGGCTGCTATAGATATTCTTGAATTGTTTTTTACTGGATTTCGATGCAATGAGATGCGATGGGAAAGAGAAGGCTTAGAGGGGACGTGATTGCAGTCTTCAAGTATTTGAAGGGCTGTCATGTAGAAGATGGAGCCGATCTATTCTCTCTTGCTCTGGACTGCAAGACTAGATCTAGTGGGTGGAAATTACAAGGGAGTCGAGACCGGCTAAATATCAGGAGAAACTTCCTAGCTATAAGGGTGGTTGAGCAGTGGAACGGACTGCCTCGGGAGGTAGTGGGTGCTCCTTCGCTGGACGTTTTCAAGCGGAGGCTGGATGGCCATCTTTCGGGTATGTTGTAGGCAATGTTCCCTCTAAGCTGTGGAGTCTTGTGAGCAAAAATTCTACTTTGTGAGCTCCTGGCATTAAAGTTGTAAGCAAGTGATTTCGCTGCTGCATAAATTAGTTTGCTGTGGAGCCATCCTTCCTGAGCGGAGACAAAAATGTATGAGCTGCAGGCTAAAAAAATGTGAGCTAGCTCACACTAACTCAGCTTAGAGGGAACACTAGTTGTAGGTATGTAGGGCTATCTTACGGCTATGCTCCTGCAGAGTGCAGGGGATTGGACTAGATGACCTGCAAGGTCCCTTCCAACTCTAACATTCTATGATTCTATGATTAAGGCCGCGATCATGCACACTCAACAATCCACTTTCAGTCCACTTTCCAGCTGGATTTTGCCAGTTCACACAGTAAAAAAGTACACTGAAAGTGGATTGCTTAGTATGGTGTGTGATCTTAAACATTATTCCTAGAGGCATTTAGAAGAGGCATTCTCTTCTTTAGGGGGAATCCCTCTTCTAGTCCCAGTTTCAAGGAGGCATCCTCCCTTTTCTAAAACACAGGGGGGGTGCCTCTTCTCAGATGGCGTGACACAAATCAAAGAAAGGATACCGTTCTTCAGAACTGTGGCTTATTCCAATGCAATATATGCAGATTTAATTGATCAATTAAAACTCTATGATTCATGGTCTAAAATCAGGAAAGAGTTCTAATTTGGATTTATAATTTTAAAACACTAAGTTCGTTTGCACCCTGCCTTTCCCTCCAGTGGGGGCCCAAAGAGGCTTACATCATTCTCCTCACCTCCATTTTCTCCTCACAACAACCCTGTAAGGAACATAAGAACATAAGAGACGCCAATGTTGGATCAGGCCAAAGGCCCATCCAGTCCAACACTCTGTATCACACAGTGGCCAAAGATACCAGGTGCCATCAGGAGATCCACCAGTGGGGCAAGGACATTAGAAGCCCTCCCACTGTTGACCCCCCCCCCCAAGCACCAAGAAGACAGAGCATCACTTGCCCCAGAGCCCCTATCTATACCTTGTGGCTAATAGCCACTGATGGACCTCTGCTCCATATGCCTATCTAATTCCCTCTTGAAGCCGTCCATGCTTGTAGCCGCCACCACCTCCTGTGGCAGTGAATTCCATGTGTTAATCACTCTTTGGGTGAAGAAGTACTTCCTTTTATCTGTTCTAACCCGACTGCTCAGCAATTTCGTAGAGTGCCCACGAGTTCTTGTCTTGTGAGAAAGGGAGAAAAGTACCTCTTTCTCTACCTGCTCTATCCCAGGCATAATCTTATAAACCTCAATCATGTCACCCCTCAGTAGGTCAGGCTGAGAGAGTGTGACTAGCCCAAGCTCACTCAGCGAACTTCCATGGCATGGGTGGGAATTCGAACCTGGGTCTCCCAGACACAAGTCTGACACTCTTAACTACTCCACCACACTGGCTCTTGTAACCAGCCATTTTGTTTGGAGAGTTTCTGAATCCCTCCAGTGGGGCTGGTCTCCTTGGGGGTGCAACAGATACGCCCCACGATCCCTCAATCATAGGGGTTGCCAACAACCTGGAGAGGGAGTTTTGCCCCTTTAACAGTGAAGGATTATTTGGGTTAGCAGAGTGCTCAAGGCACATAACATGGCAATCTGGTTGGTGTGTGCTGACAAGAAACGAAAGTTACACACGGAGTATCTTTGCAAAACTAATTTGAGTCCTTTATTGTAAGCAACTTCATTCTAGACAGGATAGAGTAGAGACAGGATTCTAATCTAGTCTAACTAGCTAGGATGGATACAGATGAAGAAAGCATGTCCTGCTCTCATGGTGCCAAGATGGAGAAGGCTAGCACAGTCTATAGAGAAGGTGTCCAGATCAGTGTTCCCTCTAAGCTGAGTTAGTGTGAGCTAGCTCACAGTTTTTTTAGCCCCTGGCTCCCACATTTTTGTCTTCGCTCAGGAAGGATGGCTCCAGAGCAAACGAATTAATGCAGTAGCCCAATCGCTCGCTCACAACTTCAATGCCAGGAGCTCAAAGAGTAGAACTTCTGCTCACACAATGTTCCCTCTAAGCTGTGGAGTCTTGTGAGCACAAATTCTGCTTTGTGAGTTACTGGCTTTAAAGTTGTGAGCCAGTGATTTGGCTACTGCATAAATCAGTTAGCTATGGAGCCCTCCTTCCTGAGCCAAGGCAAAAGTGTGTGAGCTGGAGGCTAAAAAATTGTGAGCTAGCTCACACTAACTCAGCTTAGAGGGAACACTGCTCACAAGACTGCACAGCTTAGAGGAAGCATTGGTCCAGACTGGGTGGAAGTTTCCCTGAGAGCAGCAATCTCCCAGGGCCAGCATCACAGCAGGAGGAAAGGATTTTAGTGTCCTAGCCTACTTATCTCTCTGACTCTCTACAGCCTCCCCCCCCCCTCTGAAGTCTGAGGCTAAGAGAAAGCGCAAAGTCCTTCACTTCCAACAAACAGAAACTGTGGAAATAGGCCTCTTTTAAAAGAGCAGGTCATTTCCCCTCTCCCGGTTGTAGGCAACCCTACAGATCCCGGAAAGCGTCCTCAGGTGCCCTGTTGTCTGCACGAAAGCCTCCCCCGCTATGTAAATGACGTCAGCCATTATACAGCACAGAATCTGCTCCAGTCTCGGCACACAAACAGCGGCTGTTTAGTTCCACGGCAGCCCTCGCCCGTTCTTGAGCCCTAACCCAACAGACAATCCAGTCGCTCTCCCCGAACATCGCTGACTTCCCAAGATGCAGATCCTATCGAGAAAGGGGGAGAAGGAAAAGGCGATCCTACCTGACAGCGTTGCCATCTGACCGGGGGCGGCGGGGGGGGGGGGGGGGGGCGGGGGGGACCAGCCTGGTTTGCTCTTCTGCTTTGAGCAGGATATGCAGAAATGAGCACGTGAGGCTCTTTTTTTTTGCAGCGGTCAACATTGTCCGCCGACTGACAGCTGCAGGTAAAGCCTGTGCTAAAAAGCACAGAAGCGGGTGACAATAAAAATATCGGCAACCTTACTATGCAATAAGGCAAGGTGATGAAGATGATTAGGGATGCCGTTAGAGGATGGAAGGATGGGACGTATGAGAGATCTGGCCCACAAGGGCACAATTCTCCAGGAAGTGCCTGGGCAGAAATTCCCGCTATCTCATCCACTCTCCTGTTGGGATTGTCCGCATTTAATATGGCAGTGGGCCAGGCCCTGGAGAAAAGTTTGTGCAAGCACTGCCCAAGGCCCAAAAACCACAGGGGGAAACAATAATGGAACGGGGTGTCTCTACCACTCTGCCACCCACCAGTGTTCCCCCTAAGCTGAGTTAGTGTGAGCTAGCTCACAGTTTTTTAGCCTCTGGCTCACACATTTTTGTCTCCGCTCAGGAAGGAGGGCTCCAGAACACACTAATGTATGCAGTAGCCAAATCACCTGCTCACAACTTTAATGCTGGTAGCTCACAAAGTAGAATTTTTGCTCACAGGACTCTACAGCTTAGAGGGAACATTGCCACCCACCCTTCTGCCCAGTTCAAGGCCCACCCACCACTGGTCAAGCCTGAGTGGTGTTAACTAGGTTGGGGAGCTAAGTCTTACCCTCCACTTGGCACCGATCTCCTTTCTCTGCTTTCCCCGGCGTCCGAGGGTCCCTCCAACGGGCCGTATCCTCGAAACCTCTACGGGGCACCTGCTGCTCCATCCCTTCGTCTTCTTCGCAGCCCCGCTCCACAATGGGCTGCAGCCCCGGACGAGACTTTTTTCTCCGGGGCTGGGTTTCTTTGGGCGCCCAGAAATGCCCGTTCGGTGGTAGCTGCCAGTCAACCTCCTGGGGACCATTCCCGTCGGGGACGCCCTTGGCTGAATCCACCAGCTGAGGCGGTGGGGCGCTGACCTTGGTGGCCGGCTGGGTCTTCTGCTTGCGGTGACGCAGTTCTTTGAATGTGGTCACCTCTCTCTGCCCGCAGCCGGCAGGGTTAGCCGGCTCGTCTGGCGAGGTTGGGGGGCCAGTCGTCTCCTGGCTTGGCACGCTGCCACAAGTGAGTTCGTTACAGGGGGGCAGCTCCGTGTCGGGAGAAAAGATGATCAGCCAGTCGCTTTGGTCCTTCCTCGTCTGCGGAAAGGGTGGCCCGGCCGGAACCTTCTTCCGTTTTTGCGCTAACTCGTGGAAAGAGGTGACATTCTTCCTGCCGTTCTCACTCTGCTGGTCGCCGTGGCCTGGCTGCAATTCCGGAAGGGACGGCGGGGTCACTGCCGCAGTCGGCTTCCCTACTTCGCATCGCTTCAACCCCTGCAGCCCCCTCTTGGTTCTGGGGGGAATGGGTGGAGGAGGACCCCTGGTACAACTAGGCCTCGGCGGAGCGGCCCGGTTCAAGTTGACGTCCAGTTGCCCCGAGGGGAGCGCAGAGAGATTTTCAGACTTGGTTGGCTGAACAGGGAGGGCATTACAGTTAGAATCTAGCTGGGTGCCAATGTGGGGGGCCGGCACGGCTGGGGGTGCCCTGCAAGGTCGAATGGGGGGCGGAACTATCGAGCGAACACTGTGGACCACAGTAGGGGGTGATTCGACGGGGCTTTCCGTGCAGGGAGAAGCAGATGGCGACCCCAGGGAACTGCTGCTGCCAAGACTATCGGGGCTGTCCTGGACATGGGACGCCGGACGCTCGCCAAGTCGGATGTTGAGATTCGAACCTCTGTCGTCACAACCAGCAGGGGGGACGGCACTGTGGGAGTCCTCCAGCGGGACAATGTTGGGCTGCTGATCAGGACTCGGGGCCTCCTCAGCGAGGAACTCCTTGTAGTACACCGAGACGGGGGTATCATCGAGGCTGAGATCCGAGCAGCTGCTTACGGAGGAGGAGGCCGCATCTGAAGGGGTCCCTGCCTCCTCTTCGTCCTCCTCCCCTCCCTCGTTCTTCACAATGGGGCGATTGGGCAAAACCGCCTGGACCGGCAGGCCCAGCTTAATGTCTGACCGGAGCGGGTGAGAATCGCAACATCGGCACGGTGTCGATGCGTTGTTAGAATTGGCGTCCACCAGCTCGGGGCCTCCGCCGCCTTGGCTGCGGCAGTCCTGGCAGTCTGTCTGCCGCCTCGGGGTCGTAGCGTTGGAATCTCCTTGAAGCGCCGGGTGGCGGGAGAGGTGGAGGCCCAAGGAGACGTGCTGCAGGTGGACGTGGTTCAAGTTGCAGACCAGGCCTTTCTTCGGAGACTGCATGGCTCCCAAACCCAAGCGGAAAAGGGAAGTGGGGGGGTCCGTCCTGTCGACTCCGACCTGATCTCATCCACGGGGGTGGGGGGTGGGGGAAATGGACAGAAGATCCAGTTTCCTGTGAACAGCAAAACCAGCCTCTAAGTCCCAAGGCAGCATGGGGGCGGGGGAGAAATACCAGAAAGGCAAAAGGGGACTAAATAGGGGCAGCATGGCACTGTACGGGAGTAGGGTTGCCAACCTCCAGGTGGGGCCTGGAGATCACCCGGAATTACAGTTGATCTCCAGACGACAGAGATCGGTTCCCCTGGAGAACATGGCTGCCTGGGAGAGTGGACTGTACGGAGTTAGGCCCTGTTGTGTTCCCTCCACTGCCCAAACCCTGCCCTCCCCGGACTCCACCCCCAAATCTCCAGGAATTTCCTATCCCTGAGTTGGCAATCCTATACAGGAGGGAAGTGTGGGCCACTGGGAAGGGCACAGCAGGTGGAAGGTTATTTAGGACGACACAAATGTATGGAGAGATGACAGGGCCATTGATTGCGGATGAATGGAACCTCCACGTTCAGGGGCAGTCTACCTCTGAAAGCTGTCTACTGGAGACAAGCAGGGCTTTTTTTGTAGAAAAAGCCCAGCAGGAACTCATTAGCATAATAGGCCACACCCAACAGCAGAAACTCATTAGCATATTGGGCCACACCCCTGACAGCACCACTCATTAGCATATTAGGCCGCACCCTGACAGCACAGCACATTAGCATATTAGGCCACACCCCCATGTTACCAGAAGTGTGGTCATCCAGCCACACCCACTTTTTGCTTCTTATTCTGTTTACCTGGTTTGTTGTCAAAACCCAGGGCTTTTTTGTAGCAGGAACTCCTTTGCATGTTAGGCCACACGCCCCTAATGTAGCCAATCCTAATGAGTTTCTGCAGTTGGGTGTGGCCTATTATGCTAATGAGTTCCTGCTGGGCGTGGTCAACTCAGGAGTCAGCCGGAACTCCGTTCCTGTGCGTTCCTGCCCCAAAAATCGCCCTGGAGACAAGTGACAGGGGAGGGATGTTGCTTTCATGTCTCATTTGTGAGTTTTTTCCAGAGGCAACTGGCTGACCCCTGGGGAGAAAGAGACCCTGGACTGGATGGACTCTTTGGTCTGATCCAGCAGAGATCTTTTTTCGTTCCGTGGCTTTAAGGTACCCGATGCTTGTTGGAATAAAATGTACAGAGCACATCTCCATATCTGCATGATGGATGGGTTTAACGGTTACCTTACCCCTCCCCAAGGAACCCTGGGAAATGTCGTTGGGGGGGGGGGAATCTCTGACAGAGGGCTGCTCAGCACTCCACCCGAACTACATATCCCAGGATTCTTTGAAAGGAGCCACGGTCTGCTGTCAAAACAAATGCAAGTGGATAGAACAGGTTGGATCCTGACTAGAATCACCCAGGTCCAAATCCCCTCTCAGCCATAAAGCCTTCTAAGTAAACCCTGGGTCAAATAAAAAATGTTTCCCCCTTACCTATAGGCAGAGTTGCAGCTACTGGAAGGTAGATTCAGAGGGTAGCCGCGTTGGTCTCCAGTGTAGCACCTTAGAGACCGATGAGATTTCCAGGGTTTGGAGCTTTGGAGAGTCAGCGCTCTAAAGTACATGAGGGAGCCTTGGCTCTCGATATCATACACCCTGAAAATCATGTTGGTCACTAAGGTGCTACTAGGAGGGTTTCTTCCTTCAGAAAAATCCCTGAATTTTCACTTTTCTTTTGGGGAAAATGAAGTCTCTAGTCCTCTCATTTATGAAGAAATGAGGGAAAACAGGCAAGCTATGTTGCTTAGTCAGGAGTGAAACCTGGACCCTCTATCTGTGGCTGTGGTGATACCTGCTATTTGGTGAGGAGGTGTTGAAATTGACATGGCATTGCACAATCACACATCCTTTGTAGCTGTGGGCTCACCCCGTCACTGCTTGATCAGACAACATGTGGCCGAGTGAAGGTGGGTTTTTTGCCTTTGGTTTCCCATGCGCTTAAACAATTGCACCTCCACACTGAGGGTTCCCCCTGGAGTATGCGGTTTGCTGTAGTGGTTAAATGCGCGAACTCTAACCTGGGAGAACCGGGTTTGATTCCCCACTCCTCCCCTTGCAGCTGCTGGATGATCTTGGGCAAGTCATAGTTCTGTCAGAACTGTTCTCTCAAGGGCAGTTCTGGAAAGAGCTCTCTCAGCCCCACCGACCTCACAGGGTGTCTGTTGTGAGGAGAGGAAGAGAAAGGAGTTTGTAAGCTGCTCTGAGACACCTTTGGGTTGTGAAGGGCGGGGTATAAATCCAATCTCTCTCTTCTTCTTCTTTTACCTCACAGGGTGTCTGTTGTGGGGAGGGGAAGGGGAAGGAGTTTGTAAGCCGCTCTGAGACTCCCTTGGGTAGTGAAGGGTGTGGGGTATAAATCCAATCTCTTCTTCTTCTTCTTCTTTTACCTCACAAAGTGTCTGTTGTGGGGAGGGGAAGGGAAAGGAGTTTATAAGCCGCTCTGAGACTCCCTTGGGTAGTGAAGGGTGGGGTATAAATCCAATCTCTTCTTCTTTTACCTCACAGGGCGTCTGTTGTGGGGGAGGGGAAGGGAAAGGAGTTTGTAAGCCACTCTGAGACACCTTTGGGTAGTGAAGGGCGGGGTATAAATCCAATCTCTTCTTCTTTTACCTTACAGGGTGCCTGTTGTGGGGAAAGAAAGGGAAAGGAGTTTGTAAGCTGCTCTGAGACTCCGAGTGAAGGGCAGGGTATAAATCCAAATCTCTTCTCTTCTTCTTTTACTGCTAAACGGGGGGGGGGGATGGCACCAAGTCGGGATGGAATGAGCAGACCATCCCGATGGCTTGAGTGCATGCTTGAGCGATCAGACAGCGGAAAGTCCGTCCGTAGCCTGTCAGCAAGCATGAGGACCGGACTTTCCCCAGTGTCTTTTAACTCCACTTCTGTGGCGGAGCAGCACGCGGTGCTGACGGCTGCGGGACCTTTCCCAGATGTTGCTGTCTGATTGTGCCCTTCAGATCCATCAGGCATTCGCAGCTGAGTCAGATCTAAAGGCACGTGTGACCACGGCCTGTGTGCGTCAAGGGCCGTCAAGTTGCAGCCAACTTAGGGCGACCCCAGCAAGGGGCTTCCAAGGCAAATGAGTAGCAGAGGTGGTTGGTGGCTGGTGGAATAAAACCTAAGCTTGGCACCTAAGCAACAGTTACAAGTCCCTACATCAACGAAGGACAAAGATTTAAATGCAGTTGGTGACGGCCTTCTAGAGTGATTTGGAGCTCTCCCAGTCTTAGAGCAGTCTAGTATTATTGTGGGTATGCAACAGCTGCAATTAAAATCAGGCACTCAAGAAGAAGAAGAAGAGATTGGATTTATCCCCCGCCCTTCACTTGGAGTCCCAGAGCGGCTTACAAACTCCGTTCCCTTCCCCTCCCCACAACAGACACCCTGTGAGGGAGGTGGGGCTGAGAGAGCTCTGACAGAAACTGCCTGTTCAAGGACAGCTCTGACAGAACTATGGCTTGCCCAAGGTCATCCAGCAGGTGCAAGTGGAGGAGTGGGGAATCAAACCCAATTCTCCCAGATGAGAGTCCGCACACTTAACCACTACACCAAACTGGCTCTCAAATAGATGGCAGGAGAATATAGAAGGTGTATTAAAACAAAACTTCTTTGGGGAGGCCAAGGTCAATTGCAAGACTCCTGGTTGTTTAAAAATACACAGATCTATCAAGCTAGGAAAGTCCCCATCAGGGCCAATCGTACATGTCCTCCTACACTTACCAAACACAGCAGGTGGAATTCCACCTTAATTAGGAATAAAATCTCCTAGGGATGCTCCCCTTGCAGAGGGAGGACGGGCTACACCCATTCTTGTACCACTTGAACAATCTGCTACCCCTTCTCCTGTACCACTGAAACGTCGTGTTCAGATTTGGTCTAAAGATGGGTATTCTGTACCTTATGCTCCTGGCATTGAATAATGTGATGGTTTATGACCAGCTGAGACAAATCAACTCAGCTGGAACGTCACAGGATGGAGTAGCAAAATTCAGTTGCCACACGTGTCACCACATACTTATCCCAATATGACATTATTCTACTCCAAGAAACATGGGCCTTAAACAAAGTTATGTTTCCTGCCTACATCCCTATTATAAGGAGAGCCTCACTTGGGATTAGAGGAGAGAGACCCACGGCCAGTCTAGCTTGTTTGATTTCCACTGCGTTAAACAGAGTTCTGGTCTCTTGTGATTTGGTATTGGCTGTTTTGGTTACTTGGGATAACTACCCTTTGATTTTTGTCTCAATGTATTTACCTCCTGCTGCTAACTGGGCAACCGTGAATGAAAACTGGAATACAATAAATGGCTTATCTGATCAATTAATGGAGTCTTTCCCAGATACAATGGCTATTTTAGCAAGTGAGTTCAGTGCCAGAATTGGTAGAGATAATGATGCCTTGCTAGCTATCTGGCTGGGGTTTAGTCCAGAGGATACCATTTTCCCTCTGATAACCTCAAGCTTATCAAATGATAGTTGTATTAATAGAGCAGGCCCGAGACTCTGAATTTTCTTTATTAAAGGGACTCGCCATATTAAATGGATGTATGGAGACTGATCATAGAGGAGATTTTATGTTTTTTAATGTCGGGGGCAAGTATTACTAATTACTTCTGGGTGGCTTTTGACTTTCTATGCTTGATAAAGGGACTTTCTGTACAGGATTTTATGGATGGTGATAATTTAGCCATCTCTCTCTGTAGTGTATTCAAATCTGCCTTGAATGCATGATATGTTGTGAAACATCTAACTGAACTATAATGTTAAGCTTCATCCTGGGCTAGGATCCAAATCCATCCAGTAGTATTGCTAACCCAGGAAGTAACAAGCCAATCACTTCAAGCAAGGTCCCTTAGCAGGAACATCCATGATTGGTCCTTATGTGAACAACCTTATTGGTTGGTATTTGTACAGTGGGT